TTTATTAATCTTCTAAAATTATATTCAGGCAAATAAATATCGTTTTTTGGGGCAAATTCAACCTTCCATACCGCTGCCAAAATTTTACTAATGAGTTAGGCACCACAGGGGTGCCAAAGTTACTTGAACAGAGGAACAGTGAATCGTGTTGCCGACTCCGTTTTAGACGCAGCTTACTCAAGCAAGGGTTAACTTTTCGGCCAGTCAGGGAGCATCAGTCGTGGGTCGTGCTTGCCTGGACAAGAAAGTTGTCTTTCCATTGCTACCCGGGATTTATTGCTTAATGTAGGAAAAGTAACGTAAACCAAACGGACATGGGAGATCCTTTAGTACGTTATTATCAATTTTGGAGGTCGATTCTAACGAAGCTCGTATTCAAACTATTATTTTGTTGTCCTGGCCCAATCATGCGATACCTTTGCTTTAGTGGTCATTATGTCACCACGCCTTTTTGTATATCATTAGCATTTCTAAAACATCCTCAGTGGCAGCAAGATGGAAGCAGGAGCAAAAGCGATGGCTCAAGCCTCAGGTGGCTCTAGCCGTGGACCTATTAGCCGTTCCTCTGCACCCTCTGTCCAACGTTCACTGTATCACGAAGTAATTGCTTATGTGATTAATTAAATTTTTCCTGTTGTATGCGTTATATTCCTTGATCCGAGTAAGAGGTAGTTAGTCTATGGTCGTTATTCGGGTGTAATTCATAGTGAAACACATTATTGAGCCAAGCCGCAAAACTTGGCCTAACAGAAACATCCTTTTCCGTTCTTAGGCAGTTGATCAAACCGAAAACGTAAAATTTTTATTGCCACGTTTCCAAGTATAGTATGGTTAATTTCTTACACAGGTAATTTTTAAATTTTGGAAAACTTGCCTTAACTTAATTCCCTTCTTATTACTGAAACCGAAAATACCAGTATGCAGTCTTTATTGATAAATCTGTCAGCACTTTCTTGTGGTCAGATAATTAGGTTTTTGAAATGTTAATCCTAATACCTGTTATCAGCTCTTAAACTGCCTGCAGACGAATCATTTTCGATCAAGTTATTTGTGTCCTCAACGCCATTATGTACCCTGCACAATGGCATGCTGAATTAATTGTTCCTATTAGATAACTTTCGTGATCTAGAGAGTTTTTTTACTCGAACCGCTCGTTGCAGATTTTACTCGTTTGGCAATCCTAAGGTGTCATTGGGCAACTGTTGGAGACTCGCGTGTAGTTAAATTTTCTAAGAAAACTCATGCCTGGTGCCTGAAAATGTGATTACGATCCATTCTTCTGCGTGCACGGAAACAGATGCTCTCCGGAAACCTGAACCAATAGTGTGTGCGAGTACTATACAGAGCCGAATATTCAATCACAAACCGATAATTGGCATGGAATGCTGGAATGTGAAACATTTCCCAGACCATTGCACACAGTCTGATGGCGCGCAGCCTTCGTTAGTATGGCCGGGATGTTTGTTGCTTGCTCGAAGTTCGAATCCCAACTAAAGCTCTCTGGAAATCGAAATCTTGCGAGTCAGTTCTCAGCGCACTTTATCACAGGGGCAAATGCGACTCCTCTAACCACAAACGTGTCTTCTGTCCCACGAGAATCACTCAAAAATCGGGAAACGTATGCAAGCCCGAAGGGCTACTTTGCTAGGTGCATCATCATTTTTCCCTACGCGTCATCATCACTTGTTGGCTATAGTGGTAAAGCAACCTACTTGCATATAGAAGGACTGAATGAATGATTCCATGATGTGTTCTGCTTACTGTGGTAGGGAACTGAGCTAGTCGAGCTAAGCCAGCTGCTTTTGGGCTTTGTTTTCGACGCGTTAATTGTCAAGTGATGTGCTTCGTTGAACAGAATCTGCTGTTTGTCATCAATACTCGTTGCCGCAAAAGTCTTTGCCTGATATTTAAGCATTGGTCACACAGACAGGCAAGCTGACTACTTTCTAGTCACATCACGGTTTCATAGCTGCTTTCATAGTATGGCGCCAAAGCTAGCAAACTTTGTGCGCAAGTCCGTGTTCTTGTTTGCAGTCGCCTACAAATCTTACATTTGCAAGCAAAAGTTCGTGCAAGACGCCTTTTTGCCGAAAATTTTGTTACAGCTCGCTACAGTCGAGCCTATTAGCACAGATGCTCAGTTTTTTCGGCAGACTGAGTCAAAGGGTAGGTAGCAGGAAATGTTCATACTTGAATTCCTTAGTCCTCAAGGTTGCTGAGAACAGTTTAGCGTGTACATGGTGACGTCGCAGTAGCCGGGTCAATCCAAAGACGACGGTTGGAGGCCCACGCAGCTCGAGTTACGTGTGGTGAATAAAATTCCTCCCTCTAGTTCCGCAGATTGGTGATAGAGCCACTTAGAGACGACCGCAAAAACAAAGCAGAAGTTGTGACCTCCACGAAGCAAGCCTTAAACGTTGCTGACACTAGGAAACACTGAGAAGTCATTGGTAGACCCCTTGCATTGTGTGACTTCGAATATGAATGAGGGCTTAATCCCTGACAAGGTGCGGTACCGATCTAGACACTTTGGGTACCTTGTCAACTGTAGTAACTAACTCATAACTGCCTCGCGGCCCTGTGCAGTGGAGTTTTGTCCTGTGGCTCAGTATGAAACCACCAGTGCAATAAAGTGGCCGTTCTACAAAAATGCGGTCGGAAAGGTCGGCACTTATTCTACAAGTTATGTGCTAAACTTAGTCCTGGTTTCATGAAGAAAGTTGCTAGACCTGGGGAGATAAGCTCCTGCCTGGTGACTGGGGCTCAACAATTCTTTGACGTCGTCATTTTCAGACGGTATCAGATTATACATGATTCAAGGACGAGATCCTGTCAAGCCGAATTTCGAGTTTTACGTGGATGCTCGAAGGACATGTTAATGTTGCAGTACTGTCTTGAATTTCACAATCGCCTCCATTTTTGGCTTCTTTGCAGCTTCCGACCCTGTCTATTATGAGTATTTGTGGCTGATAATGGAATTGGATAATTTGCCGGTCAAAATGGTGGTTGTGACCAAAGTGCTAACTTCACACCACAACTCGAGTTCTTGTTTTCAGAAATATTGGCTGAGTGTTCATCCTTGCTTTTGACGATATCAGGATATTAGTGTTAATAGCGAGCCCATTACTGTAGACATACGTGCATGGGGATGAAATAGAAAATCATTGGGATGTAATATCAGTCTACTTTGTAAGCCAGCTTAATTGGTTTTCCTGGCACCATTTTATTTCCCCTGGTCGCGTCACAATTTTTTTCCGGCTAACTCTGCATCCCATCCCCATCAGCCAACTTGAGGGTGGCTCGAGGGCGCACTGTTTACTGTTGTATGTACCTTCGGAGAATTCCTTTTATTATGATTCTTTGTCTACCGACCGCCAAACCTAAGACAACACATCCTTGCATGCGTATCATATGACAACAGACAGTGGCACTTTTAGTATTTTCAATATTGTTTATTCCCGTCCATTTTATCACTTCCCATGAAGTACTACCGACAATAAAAGTGGAAAAAAGAATATTTCTGACTCATTTGCCCTTGACAACCATCCATACGCTGGTCATAGGCTAGTAAAAGCTAAGGTTTGAACCAGGATCTATTAGTTAAGTCATTTAATTTCGTAATGTCCTTGATATCCTAGGTCCAATAAAAAGGTTGTTATCAATACAGAGCCCCAGGGCAGGACGTTAACGCGTCTTCTTTTCTAAAAGCGGAACAGAACACCGAACACAAACTTTCAATACTTCCTTTCTTTCTCCATCTGTCGGTAGGAAACCGTGGTTTAATTTTCCAGTGGTAGTATCCGCCATTGGTGCTTGTCCCGATCTCTTTACGCAAAATGATAATAACCCACGACGCACAGTAGTCTAGTTTCCAATTGAATAGGCGAAGACTTGCACCTGACTGGCGTCCTTTGGGTATAGTTTATAAAGTAAATCTAAGATGCTTTTTCATTTCAGTAGACTGCGAACCCTCAATTAAATATTTTCCTGTGAAGACGTCAGTACGTATCTTTAGTTTGGATTAATGGTGCTTATCAGCTACTGCAGTTCACAGCGATTGCTGTTTCTAAGCAATGTAATTGTTACTGTTGTGAGTAGTTCACCCTCTCCCCTCTTTTTTTAACTTAGTGCACAATAGCAGAGTTAAGAGTAGGAAATTGACCATATGTTCATTTTCTCCCAATGTTCGGATTACATCCTATAGAGTCATGCAACTCTGCGTGATGTTTCTTTCTTGATCGCATGGTCCGCCTGAAGCGACCATGTGGGCAGGATGTTTTTTGTGAGTGGGGATTTTGAGATCCGGAAATTGGCAAGTTTGGGAGTACTTCAGTTCTACAGCCTTCAAGCTGTCGCGTTCGTACCGAATTTCTTCCTCTGAGGAATACAGATGCTAATGGAATCATGCTATTTCAAACTACTGAAATGGCGCAGTTCGATTGCTCCGCGGCGGCTGTTTGCCATCATATGACGCGTACATACCGTTGCGACCTTTCCAGGATATCTCATTTATCGAACTACCACAAGCATACTCCTTCTTACAAAAATCCTTTTCCCAAACTGGTTTTCCAGTAATTTTTGCTAATTCAAAACATTTTGCCTTTATGAATCTCCTTTTCAAATCCGTTCAATTCCTACATCACCGAGGTGACAGTAGGGGAAGCCGCTGTGCTTTGAAGGTAACCCTGGTGATTACTATGTCAGCCAACCTGGCATTCTGAGATCTACCTTCTGCGTTTCCAGTTCACCGC